AACTCACGGACCGCGAGATCATGACCTGAGCCAAAGTCGGCGGCTTAACCGACTGAGCCACCCAGGCGCCCCTCGTTTGTTTCCATATATTTTTTAATTTCTTCTCTAATTGCCTGGTTGACCCACTCATTCTTTAGTAGGGTGATGTCCAAGTCTTTATACTCCCACACTGATCTGTCACTGATGTGTGACATCCTAAGATAGGGCATTACCTTGAGCAGGGTGGCTGTCTGTACCTGAGGCAATCCCTGGAGAGGCTTGAGAATTGAAGGATGTCTGCAGAGAGCCTTCCTTGAAACTGTAACAAGAACGTCATCACTGAAGAGGAATCTGGGCAGCACATCCCAGTGTCCAGAACAAATATATTTTACTTTAGAGTAAAATTTTTGGGGGAAAGGGGGACAAAAGTGAAGCTGAAGGAGAAAAGGGATGGTAAAATTCTGACTGAAGAGTGTGTTCCTGTAGTTTTCAAATGGATGATATTGAATAATAAATCAGTGTAGTGTTTATATGCCTTTGGATACATATAAAAATTGATGTAAATTTGCTCCTAAAAATGTTAATACTTATAATATGCTGGTAATTGCATTTGTTATAGTGACTTAAAGGTATGATATTAGATCTTAAAGGTATGATATTAGACTTAAAGGTATGATTTTAGATGTCAAATAAATGTATGAGAGAGTACATTACTTTTCAAAATTAATTTAGGGAGTAGGTAAGAAAAAATGAAGAACACTGGTCATTTTGCAAATAAGAGTACTGAGACTCAGAGATGTTATAAGACTTACACACAGTCATACTAATAATATGAAACCAGACCCATAAAGCCCTTAAAAATTACCTGACCTTTCTTCCTTACCTGGTGGTTGTAAAGACCCATTAATCTACTATTTGTGAATGTACTTCTAAAAGAATAAAGCTCTCATCAAGAGTTTCTTAACCTAGAGAGCCTGGACCCTTCAAATTGCCAGTGGCAATATGTATATTTGTATACATTTGTGGGGGGAACACTTCTATAGCATTATAGCCACTATAGAGGAGACATATAAGCAAACCTTACTGTTAAGTTCATACATCTCTAACCCAGCCAATTGCTTTAATTCAAGTTCTTCTCTCTTGATTCTCTTATTTGAGTTTCATGCTTTCTGACCTCCTTGAACTCTCTTGCGTCTTCCCTCATTCAAAGATGGGAAACAGTCTTCATGCAGGGAAACCTCCTTGTATTAAATCTTACTTGTATTAAATCATTCCTGATCTCAACAGGGTGATCTAGTGTATGTTAACTATGGCCGGATTGAAGACTTCTTTAAACTAGAGAGGGACATGAAAATCAATTGCTCTGGGAAGATTGTGATTGCCAGATATGGGAAAATTTTCAGAGGAAATAAGGTAAAAGTCATTTCTTTTTCCTTGTCCCCAAATACAAAAAATTATGTCGTATCTTACATGTGTAGAAACATATCCTTCAAACTTTCTGAGGACTATAATCTTCTCATATTATATAACATGCCTACCTTATGGGGAGGACACACGTACTAGCTTAGGGATAAGGGTTTTAATGGGGTCTTTGGAGTTTGGGCCAATGACGAAGTTCAGGGAGAACAGAGCAGATTTTTCCATATTTACAGATTATGCCTGTGGTCTACAAAGAAGCATGAATGGGATTTTTTGTTACCATCGTATCTTTGTTTTAAATATTATCTTTGAAAATATCTACCTAATTAAATTTTAATAGTAATTATTATTGTAGGGACTCAGAGAAAACAATTTATACATAACAGTTTTTAAAAATGACTGTCACTTTGACCTGTAAATTTTTTTCCTTTTGTAAGAAATTAAATTTCCAAAATATTCCCTTCCATCCATAAAAGATAGAGAAATCTGGCCTGTAGGGTCTACTTGCTTCCTGTGCTTCTAGACTAATGCAAGAAAACAGCAAGTACTTGCTATCGCTATTACGGGCATTTTCCAAATCTGCTGCTGTGGGGGCTGATCTAGCCCTAGAAACCCATTTTTAGAACTTAAAGTAGGAAAAAGCAAGCGCCAGTTCTCTGTGAGATGTCCTTTGTTGCAGGTCTAAATGACAAAGTTTAAGTGTAATTTCAAAAAACCCGATATTATCAAATCTGGAACAACCAACCTGAAATAAAAAAGACGTTGTGTTTTCCAGGTTAAAAATGCCCAGCTGGCAGGGGCCAAAGGAGTCATTCTGTACTCAGATCCTGCTGATTACTTTGCCCCTGGGGTGAAGTCCTATCCAGATGGTTGGAATCTACCTGGTGGCGGTGTCCAGCGTGGAAATATCTTAAATCTTAATGGAGCAGGGGACCCTCTCACACCTGGTTACCCAGCAAATGGTGAGTGATCAGGCCTTAATCATCACAGGAAACTTAAAAACATTTTAAAGTGATTTTATTAAAGGATTTCAAACAAAGTATGTCTTTTTAAAATTCTCTGTGCATCAAAGAAGTAAGTTAAAGAGTTTCAGACACTGAAAAGTATTGCCTTAGCTTCCTAATCTCTTATTGGGAACCCCTGGGCCTGATGGGTTTTGGAATCCAGACATTTTCTGACATTTAAAAGTAATGTGATGCATATACCATTGATTGCGTAACACCCAGGAGGCTGGGATGGAATCCAGGAAGCAGACATATAAATACTTTTGCAGCAAAATATATGAATAATCATCCTTAGCAGAGGCAAATAATAAATGATAAAAATAAATAATATAAATAGCCACATGTCTGCTCTAATTAGATCGGCTGTGAAATGAGTTTGGATCAGATCAGGTTTTGATGCTAAGTAAATTCCCTCCAAATTTACGGCTTTTACAGTTTTTGGATTTCCTAGTTGCTGATAAGGGATAGCAGAAAAGAAGTTTTACAAATCCCCAAAATGGCACATTTAAAATATAGAGTCCTTTAAAGATTTATGAATCTTCTTAGAACATAGTATACTGTCATAGATTTTTTTTTTAAAAACAATACATGTTATCCTGTAATAAAATCACATAAATATACCTTAACTTCACTTACTTCTGGTTTTTACTCCCAAGTTAAAAAAAAAAAATGTAACCTCTCTTAATTTCTGTTTTACAAAGCTAAACTTACGAACATAAAATGAACTTACCTAGAATATTTCTGTTGCTTATCCTCAAATTTAAATGATAGTATTGTAGGGGAGAAATGTTATCCCTATGGGGCTTGTATTTACTGAATTTCCTTTTGTGCCCTATTCTTTTTTTTTTCTTACCCCTTTAGTTTTACTTTTTATTCTGGAATAGTTCTAAAATACGCAAACATAGAGATAATTATCAACATTTTGTCAATCTTGTTTCATCTCTTTATTCTGCCTTTTTTATTGTTACATAGGACAATTTTTAAATAAGTCCCATGTAATGTATCATTACATCATTTTACTCATAAAATGAATATGCTTTTGCAATCACCTTGTTCTTATTAGATAATTTAAAAATTTGGAGAAAAAAATGGAAAAATAACTCCTATTTTTTTAATCTGAGGAAATGACAGAAGGTTTTTATTTTGAAGTAGAGCCCATATGTAATAAAATACACAGATCTTAAGAATTGAGTTCAATGAAAATTTTAAATTGCATATGTCTGTGTCACTCAAAATAAGATATAGGACATTCTCATGACTCCAGAAAGTTCTCTTGTGCTCCTTTCTGGTCAAGCACTTTCTGGTATCTCTCACCATTGATTAATTTGCCTGGTTTTGAACTTCATATACAAGGACTCAGTGTATATTCTTTTGTAGCTCACTGTTCTTATTCAGTATACTGATTTGAGATCTGTCCGTGTTATTGTGTGTCTTAGTAGTTTGTTCTTTTAATTGCTGAGTAGAATTCTGTTGTGCGACTGGGCTACAGATCATTTATTCATGCTGATGTTGACAGACATCTGTGCTGTGTTCTGTGTTTAGCTGCCCAAATTCAGCTGCTGTGAATAATTTTGTACAGGTCTTCTATGTGGACATATATTTTCCTCCTTTCTTGAGTAAATACCTACGAGTAATTGCCGTGTCCTAATGCACAATTCTGTTTAACCTTACTTTTCTAAAGAGTGATCCAAAGTGATTGTATGATTTTACACTCTTGCACAGAATGTATGAGAGTTTCAGCTGCTCCACATACTCGCTAACGTTTGAAGGTGTCTTTTTATTTTAACAGTTCCAGTAGATGCAATATAAGAATGTGTTTAATGGGATTTACAGAAACACTTTTGAAAGGGACTCGGTTTGTACTGAAGCATGTCCAGCTTCTTTCAGAATATGCTTATAGACGTGGAATCACCGAGGCTGTTGGTCTTCCAAGTATTCCCGTTCATCCAGTTGGATACTACGATGCACAGAAGTTCCTGGAGTAAGTGTGTAAGAAACAAACAGATGGCTCTTTGGATAATTCTCTTTATCGGCAGTCTTTGACTATTGGCAATATTAACATCTGAATATTTCTCCACTATTCAGAAACACTGAAATTCTGTTAGATGGTGGAACCTACAATTTTATCACCATTTTAAAGAATAGTGGTTATTTTCTGGAATTTACTTTATGTAGTGCTATCCGGTATGTGACAGTCATGAGAATGACTTTCAGTTTCCAGCTGCAGGGGGCATGACTGATCAATGACTCCAGCGACAGTGCTTTGAAATCCACCACCCTGTTTGTGTCAAAGCCATGCTTCCTACTGGTGTTCCCAGTCAGTGACTAGTTGCAGCAGGGCACTAAAACAGGCCCATTATTGGGAGGCCCAGGACTCTTCTCATGGGAGACTTTGGCTCAGGATTCCATGACAGGTTTGTCCAACTAGATGCCACCACCCATGGCCCTTTTCTTCCTTCCTTTTCTCCTTTACCTCATATGAGACCTGCATTGCAGTCTATTGGCTTTTTCAGCTTTCCCTCACCCCCTTCCCATTTCCCTCACAGGCTTTTCCCCTAATAAATCTCTTACTCATCTAATCCACATATTGTCTAGTACTTGGATGACTTGGAACACCATATTGTGAGATCAATTCCATGTTATCTTCATCTTTATTCCTCTTCCCCTTCTGCTTTCCTGACATTGGAACCCTCTCTCCTTTCCTGCCCTGCTATGTCCCATCTGTAGGTCCTTTGTCCAGTGTCCTTCAGGAGGGAGAGAACATGACTTCTTTGAAAGTAGAATTGTGAGAGAAGCATCTTGCCAGTTAGTACCTTTTCTTATTTGAGTTTAAAGCATTCTTAATCATTTTATTCTAGTCTCTATAAGAAAACTTTTTATGACCTAATACAGTGCCCTTCTTATTTACAATTGAGGAGGTTGATATTCGGAGAAGTGGAGGGATCTGTCCCATTTAAGGGCAGTTTAAGGAACAGCACCTTCGTCTCTTTTATTTATAGGCTCTCAGCTTTTACCGTGTGGTTAGAATTCAGGATCCAGGCACAACTTTTGAGGGCACAGCAGACTATGCATTTGTCTAAACATATTTGTAAATCAAGTCAAATATTTGTCTATTTAAAAGATGAAAGTGATTATAACATTACTTGTAGTATTAGAAAACTGTCAATAACACTGATCTTCAAAAATTGCTAAGTAAGTCAGATATGTAGCTCTGGCTATGATAGTGCATAGAACCATTAAAACATATGTTGTACAAGAATATTTAATGTTATGGAAACATGCTTATGCTATACTACTAAGTGAAAATAGCAGAATTATCTATCTAGGTATCTATAGAAATATCTATATATAGATATGCAGATACATAAAGACAGAATAATCTCAATTATGTTAATTTTTTAAAATGACCCTGTAAAGGGGCGCCTGGGTGGCGCAGTCGGTTAAGCGTCCGACTTCAGCCAGGTCACGATCTCGTGGTCTGTGAGTTCGAGCCCCGCGTCAGACTCTGGGCTGATGGCTCAGAGCCTGGAGCCTGTTTCCAATTCTGTGTCTCCCTCTCTCTCTGCCCCTCCCCCGTTCATGCTCTGTCTCTCTCTGTCCCAAAAATAAATAAACGTTGAAAAAAAAAAAAATTTAAAATGACCCTGTATTATCTTTGTAATTAAAAAAAGAATGCATGGAAGGAAGATCATATGGAATTTATTTGAAGTGTATTTAGCTATGTTTACTATTTGACTGCTCTGGTTAACTAGGTCAGCATTGGCTAGGTCCTAAATGTGTATTAGAATTACTTGATCAGAAAAAAATCACAAATGGAGTTTATCTCTAATGTATTCAAGTCAGCTTCTCTAAGCCATCTTGTAAATACAATCATCATTAATAACATAATTTCTATGGAAAAGTGGACTTTGCATTAAAAACACCATAATTTAAAAGGAACTTTGGAAATACAATCTACATGGAAGTAGGAGATGATCTTTATATGTTAAAAGCAATAAGACAGCTCCTATCTCATCTTTCATACTTTCTAAGATATAATGAAATATTCTTCAGGAATTTAGTCTTACATATTTTTTTCAAAGAACATATCATTTGTTTATGAATTTCACTGTGAAAATTTACTCCCGATGCACACTTAGGAGTATGCTAGTTGTCCCTGATAGTCAATTCTCAGATGCCCACAAAAGGTTAGCCGCTTAGCATTATGTATTAATTAGAAAAGAATTGCTAACATCATAACATGAAAGTTTCTTCATAAATGTGTGTGAAGACAAGAAGAGATATAAAGTCATATAATGGCCCAAGAATGTTGCGAATTTCAATAAAAAGTTGATGAGATGTGAGGTGCCTGGGTGGCTCAGTCACTTAAGGGTCTGACTTTTGATCTCAGCTCAAGCCTTGATCTCAGAGTCGTGAGTTCAAGCCCTGTGTTGGACTCCAGGCTGGATGTGAAGCCTATTAAAAAAAAAAAAAGGTGAGGGGCTCCTGGGTGGCTCAGTCAGTTGGGAGGCTGACTTTGGCTTGGGTCATGATCTCACGTTCCATGAGTTCAAGCCCCACATCAGGCTCTGTACTGACAGCCTGGATCCTGCTTCAGATTCTGTGTCTCCCTCTCTCTCTGCCCCTCCCCCATTTGTGCTGTGCCTCTCTCTGTCTTTCAAAAATGAGTAAATGTTAAAAAAAAAATTAAAAAAAGAGTTTATGAGATGTGAGTTTAGTAAAGCAAAACCACATTTACTTGGGTGGGAGGGAAAAGGGACACATGTGTTTTTTTCTATTCTTCTTTACATCTCTGTTGAAGGGAATGTGATTATATGGTTTTCATTTGCCTCCCTGAGAAACTACTAGGATTGATACCAGTATCAACAATAATAATGACAATAACAATAATAATAGCATCTATCATGCAGTTATTTGTCAATTTTATCAAAGAATCAACTTTTGGTGTAATGGATTTTCTCTATTTTTTCCTCTTTTCTGTAATTATTTTTGTTACAGTATTTATTGTTCTCTTTCTTATGCTCAATACAAGTTTAGTTTGCCTTCATTGTCCCGTTTTTTAAGGTGGAAGACTAGTTTATTGATTGATGTCTTTCTCCTTTTTTTAAAAATTTATTTTAATGTTTATTTATTTTTGAGAGAAAGAGAGACAGAGCATGAATGGTGGAGGGGCAGAGAGAGACAGGGAGACACAGAATCAGAAGCAGGCTCCAGGCTCTGAGCTGTCAGCACAGAGCCTGACACGGGGCTTGAACTCACCAACTGAAAGATCATGACTAGAGCTGCAGTCAGACGCTCAACTGACTGAGCCACCCAGGTGCCCCAATGTCTTTCTCCTTTTTAAATGTAGATGTTTACAGGTATACTTTTCCTCCAAGCACTGCTTTAGCTGCATCCCATAGGATTAGATACATCATGTCTGCATTTTCATTCATCACTAAGTATTTCCTAATTATTCTTGGGATTTTTTCTTTCACCCATTGTGTATTTAGGAGTTAGTTCTTTGATTTCTATATATATTTCCATATATTTCCCAAATTCCCATCCTTAATTGTTAAATTCTTACTTTTGTGGTTGGATTAATAAACAGATTGTATAATTTATAAAAGGGTTGCATGACTGCAGCCATTTAAATTCATTTAAACTGATTTTATAGCCTAATATATAGTCTATCCTGAAAAAATGTTCCATAGGTGCTTGGGAAGAACATGCATTCAGCTCTTGTCAGATGGCATGTTCTAGATATGCCACATGACATTTCTGGCTTGTCAGCTTCTTCAGCTCCAAGTCTGGGATAGATAAGCCAAAAAATAAACAGAGGAACTCATCTTTGTCTTTTCTTATACCCTGAAGTCCCAGCCTAGGCTTTGAGAGCCTAATGTGTGTTGTATATACTTATGGCCCAGAGAATTTAGTTGTACTTAACCAGAAGAATAGGGTAAAGCTCATCTGCATCTTTCCAGAAGCAGTCTTACTTCTTTTCAAGCTTCTATCATGGTACCCTAATCCCTTATTCCCCAGCCAGACCAATCACCATGCCTTACACTTGCTTTATACTTCTCTGCATTTGTACCTCTTCCTGTCATACTTAGTACCTAGAATGCTCTCCATGTCATCTTCCCATGCCCAGATCTTAACTCATCCTTTAAAATTGAGATAAGTAAAACCTCTAAAAAGTTGTTCATGTTCCCACAAGCTAAATCATGACCTGAGCTAAAGTCAGACTCTTAACCAACTGAGCCACCCAGGTGCCCCTCTACTTAAAAAAAATAAAAATTAAAATTAAAAAGTTTACAAAAATTTCGTGAAGCTTTTACAGACTGTTGATTGAAGTAAAATCATTTCCTTTGCTCTTTATGAGTGAAGATACCTTGTGAAAGATTAACATGTCCATATTTGGGGATATATTTATCAGTAGGAGAAATAACAAAATGGAAAATCCCAGAATTTGACATCAGAGCTCTTTCCTCACAGCATTCCCTGGAGGCATGTTAAACAGACTTTCTATTAGAAACTGGGAACGAAGAGTCTGGATTCTTCCCAAACGTTTGACCCTCAGCTATACCACTTACCAGCTGCATGACTCCAAGCAAGTTGCCTATCTCTCTAAGCCTCACGCCCTCATCTCTGAAGTAGGAGGAACTTCTACTTCAGACTTCAGACTAGGAACCTAGTCTACTTCAGACTAGGAACTTAGACTCTACCTCCTAAGAGTCCGAGTAAGGGTTAACTGGCATATCCCTGACTCCTGAAGCTATCATGAGCAGGCACTCAAGAAAGCAAGCTCATTGACATTTTAGCTGATAGCTCCAAAGTTTTTCTTCAGCTAATAATACTTTTTGTGTTCCATAGGAAAATGGGTGGATCAGCACCGCCAGACAGCAGCTGGAAAGGAAGTCTCCAAGTGCCCTACAATGTTGGCCCTGGCTTTATTGGAAACTTTTCTACGCAGTTAAGAGACTATTTTTATTGTAACTCTCAGGCAAGGAAAAGTTTTTTCAAAAAAAAAAAAAAATACTTACAGAGGATGACTGGAAAAGTAAAATATATCTGGTACCAAAAGGGAACAAAGCCACAGGTTGTAGAGGGGAATACACTTACATCATTTGTATTGGACAGCTGGACAATGTAATTCTTGCATGTGTACATTTAGAAATCTTTAAAATGATGTAAGAGTTAAAAAATTGCAGGTGGCAAAGTGTTAACCAGGATTTTCAGAATGCATTCTTTATTTTTGCATTAGAAAAGTCAAGATGCACATCCATTCTAACAATAAAGTAACCAGAATATACAATGTGATCGGAACTCTCAGAGGAGCAGTGGAACCAGGTAAATTAATCATTTGCTCAGCAAATATTGATTGAGCAATCCTTCCGGGCCGGGCACTGCTCTGAGCTCTGGGAATGTAAGGTGAACAAAGCACTTCTTGGCCCTAATGGAACTTACATGGACACAAAATATACAAATTGAGGTAATTTTGTATTGGGATACATGTTTGAAGAAGAGTAAACGTGGGGCTAAGTTGGTTAGATGCCCAAGGACAGTAAATGTGAAGCTGTGCATGCTTCAATTAAAGGATCGAGGGAGAAAGGTCAGGGAGGGATCATTGTGAGGTCTTTTCTCTGGGTTTTCTGGATTTGTTTACCACGTAGTTTGCTTGGGGTAATATTTCATGTTAACTACAAACATCTATGTGAAAGATAACACTATTAGAAGATTAAGGTAACCTTGAATTAATGAATCCTTTATGTAGTCTTATCTTCTATTGAAGTTAATGAGATCTATAGACACATGATTTCCACAGAATTTCAGATACCCTGCAGCTTACTCTATTCTGTAAATAGTCTTACTTCATTGTGTTTCAATTCCTTAAGGATTAGGGTAATATATTTCTGACTAACAGGCATACAGTTAAATCACATATTTTTTGTAGAAGCAGCCAATGCTTTCTTTCAGGGATAAAGAATACTGGTATACTTCCAGAGGGTACTAAATAATATGTAACTGGCAATTCACTGAATCTCACTGACTACCTGTTTTGTGCCAGCTCTGTATTAGGCATTGGGGATGGAGGGAAAAAATGAAGACATAAGCCAGGGAAGAGGAGCCATACATTCAAGCGTGGTAAATGCTTTGTCAGATATGGTGGTAGGATTGCTCTGAGAGCTGGAGAGTGGGAGCAATTCTGTCCCCTGGGGAAGCTAGGAAAGGGTCATGGAGAGGTAAAATCGTTGATCTGTGTCTTGAAAACTGAATGGGAGTAGGAAGTGGAGAACATACTATGAGGCCACTGTGTTCTCTTACTCTGAAAATACTGGAAACAAAGTTTTAAGTAGCTAAGAGAGGAGTGACAGAGAATTATAAAAAGAGATGGATAGAATAATTCCATAGTTACTTATTATTACTTATGTCTCTTTTTAAAATTTTTTTTCAACGTTTTTTATTTATTTTTGGGACAGAGAGAGACAGAGCATGAACGGGGGAGGGGCAGAGAGAGAGGGAGACACAGAATCGGAAACAGGCTCCAGGCTCCGAGCCATCAGCCCAGAGCCCGACACGGGGCTCGAACTCACTGACCGCGAGATCGTGACCTGGCTGAAGTCGGACGCTCACCTGACTGCACCACCCAGGCGCCCCTACTTATGTCTCTTTTTACATTTACTTAGAGAGAGCATGTGCAAGTGAGTGGGGGAGGGGCAGAGAGAGAGAGGGAGAGAGAGAATCCCAAGCAGGCTCCACACCTCGGTGCAGAACCCATGCAGGTCTTGAACCCACGAACCGTGAGATCATGACATGAGCTGAAATCAAGAGTTGGACACTTAACCAACTGAGTGCCCCAGGTGCCCCATCACTTACATGTTTATGATTGTTATTGTACGTTGTACACTGAGTATACCTTTGCTTGTCCCATCTACTCTCTTTGTCCATCAAAATCAGACCAAAATAGTATATTTACACAAGTCTTCAGGAACCTTGCTCTTTCTTTGAGTCGTGAGTGCTCTGTGTTTAGATGTTCTTGACTCACTTGCAGTTTGCTCTGTTATTGACCTGGAATGACAAATAATTTTGCAATGATGCTTCCTAGACAGATATGTCATTCTTGGAGGTCACCGTGACTCATGGGTGTTTGGAGGCATCGACCCTCAGAGTGGAGCAGCTGTTGTTCATGAAATTGTGAGGAGTTTTGGGACACTGAAAAAAGAAGGTAATGTAAACAGCAAGGGAAAAGATCATCCTCTCTGAATCTCAATTTGGTCCTCTGTAAAGTGTGTAAAATTACCACCTTCTCGTAGGTCTGAGAGAGGGTCCAACTGACAGGATACGTGCAAACATCAAGTGCTTGGTAATACCTAGTAGCATAGAACAGCTTTCAGTAACTAGTTGCCATGTTTCTTGTGTAGGTTAGATAATTATATTGTTTACTTATTTTTGCTTATTTATATAATAATGTTTACATTATTGATATTTATAAAGTTATAATCTGAAATAAGGGAATTATACTGTTAGGGGTCGCTCTTGACAACAAAGAAGGTGGAGACGCATTTCTTCATAGAAGACAAACCAAAGTTAGGTCATGGGCCAACGTGTCCTGATCAGAGAACTGTGAGCAGAAGTTCCTTCCTCCCTTCTAGCCTCACACAACAGGTCAAGGGCATCAAGTAAGGGAGGGGATTGAAGCTTGCTCTGAGAAGTTTTGGTGTCTGTCTAATAGGATTCTCAGAAGTTTGATGTTTGCGTCCCCACATCCTCAGTCTTGGTGTGCTCTCCTAAAACTTAGGTTTAAACTCCTAGCTCCATTGCTTCAGTCCTTTTAGAATCTTCATATGAAAACAAAGATAACACTTAGTTCAAATGATTGCTTTTTAAAATAAATCACACATTGAGAGCAGAAAGTCCACTCTCTTTACTGACCCTGCAAACCAGGGTGTGGGGCTCTAATTGTGACCCGTGTTTTTTTAGCAGCAATAACAACCAACAGCAAAACTGTATTAAGTTTGTACAATACTTGTTTTCACAGAGAAAGTGCTTTCACGTATTCTTTGTTTTGAACTCCTAGCAACCAGGGAGAAGTTTACTTAGTTATTTCTGTTCTCATTTCACAAATAAGCTAACCAAGTTTCACAGAATTGAGGGAGTCATCCATGGCTGTATAGCTAGTGTGTGGCAGAGTCAAAGAACCCAGGTTTAAACTCAAATTTCTGGGGGTGCCTGGGTGGCTCAGTCGGTTAAGCGTCCGACTTCAGCTCAGGTCATGATCTCGCAGTCTGTGAGTTCGAGCCCCGCGTTGGGCTCTGTGCTGACAGCTCAGAGCCTGGAGCCTGTTTCAGATTCTGTGTCTCCCTCTCTCTCTGACCCTCCCCCATTCATACTCTGTCAATCCCTGTCTCAAAAATAAATAAACATTAAAAAAAAATTTTTTAAATAAAATAAACTCAAATTTCTGGCTACTAGCCCACAAAACCATGTCTCTCTTTAAAACAAAATGTAAAAGGGCTCTATTATTTTTTTTCCACAAAGCTATTTTATGTTTTAAGAACACAGAATTATGAAGATCTGAATTTACAAAGCTCATAAATTAGGTAGTGTTGAACATGAACACAAAAAATTTTATGATTTTGCAATAAGATTCCCTATGATAAATACAAAACATTGCAGTGACAATGATAGAGTATGCCAAGAGAGTGCAATGATGAGGAATAATAATTCATAGGAAATTTGAATTATGTTATTAACAAATTGACAAAACACTGGACTCAGCTGTAGGGATACACATTCTTAAGCAGAAATGAACTGTTTGCGGAAAAAATGACACATTTTTGAGCACGTTTGAAGTGCTGTGTTTGTAAACACGACTCCATTTAATCTTCCTAACAATCAAGGAGTATCTTCATCTCACTTTGGTTTTTCTGGTGTACAGATGAAGAGAGGGAAGCGGAGGAAGCTTGCATAACTTCCCCTCGGTCATAGTGCTAGTAGGTGAAAGAACTGGGATTTGAAATAAGATCTTTCTTTAACTCCAAGGTCAGTGTTTATCACTCCAAGCCATATTACCTCCTTGTTGAGTTATGCTGAATTATTGCAGCAGCCACAGACATCAGTATTGCTAACTGAGCTTCTGTTGACTAATTCTGGCAAAGAATGGAGTGAAATCACACAACCAGCTGACACTGAACAATTGCGTGCATGATGCCAGAATGTGGAAGAGTTGTAAGGAATTTTCTCTCGGTTCGATCTGCTCTCAGAGCACAGACCACATCTAGCACTTTCTTCTTTCACTCCGGGCAGCTGCAGGGCACAGATGGCTGCCTGTGTATATCCAATCATTATAAACTGTTTAGAATATTATGACCTAATGGAATTTTTGGTACGTGTACATCCCCCCCCTCCCACTTTTCAGTGCAAATGTGCTCGTTTGTACTGACAAATCAGCTTTAACATCTCACAAAAGAAAATGATATAAGTAAAAATTCTCACTATAGTTCACATTTTCTAAACAAACAGTGGAATTTTAGTGTGGTTTTGCTGTTGAGTTTTACAGTGTCTTGGATATATAATGCATTTTCCCAGCATTTATGTGTATACACATATATTTTAGGATGGAGACCTAGAAGAACAATTTTGTTTGCAAGCTGGGATGCAGAAGAATTTGGTCTTCTTGGCTCTACTGAGTGGGCAGAGGTTAGTTGATAATTTGCTACAGTATAAATTTTCACAACAAAGCAGTTAGGATTTATCAAAGACGCAAAAATAACAAGTGAATTCAGTGAGAACATATTCAAACTTTTTTTTTTCCAGAAAATCTGACACAACATATCCTTGTCCAAAAAGAAAAATCTCTTTGTCATTAAAGAACGGTTTTGTTTGAACTTCTAAAGGTACTTAATGTCAATTGTCAAAGTAATTTAGTTTTCATTTTCTGGGAGTTTTATGGCAAATAAGTAAATTCACTAGAAACCAAACATCAAAATAAGGTTTCACATTTCTATTACCCTTTGCAAATTAACTACTAAAGCTAACCACATTAAAATAACCCCTTGAGCTTATACAGTAAGGTATACTTTTCAGATTTATGTTCCTTATATCCTAATGACTGACTCTAAATTAAATCATGCTAGAAATGAGGTAGAAAGTCTCACTGCAGAATATTTGATAGGCACCTTTAAAAGTAAATTTACCTTTATGCAGATGTTATACACACACCAAGTGGTCATCACAAATCAGAAACTAGTAATAGACTTGCGAAAAATAAAGAGGAATGAATCCAAGTATTTCACTAAAGAAAGCCAACGAACCATGAGAGAGCAAAGAAAGGAACAGAGAAAAACTGCAAAACAGCCATAAAACAAGTAACAAAATGGCAGTAAGTTACATCCCATCAATAATTACTTTGAATGTAAATGGACTAAACACTCTGATCTAAAAACAAAGGGGAATGGAATGGATTAAAAAACAAGGCCCATTTACATTCCGCCTAAAAGATACTTATTTTAGACCTCAAGACATATGCAGATAGAAAATGAAGGATGGAGAAACATTTATACAAATGGATGTGAAAAGAAATCTGGGGTAGTAATACAGTGGACAAAGTAGACTTTAAAACAAAGACTGTAATAAGAGACAAAGAAGGACAGTATACAGTCATCAAAGATACAGTTATAAGAAGATACAACAATTGTAAATATTTATGTGCCCAAAATGAAAGCACCCAAATACATAAAGCAGTTAATAACAAACATAAAGGAACTAATTGATAATAATACAATGCTAGTAGGGGACACTCCATTTACATCAGTGGATAGATAATCCAATCAGAAAAATCAAAAAGGAAACAGGGGCTTTGAATGACACACTGGACCATTCTTTTCAAGTGTACGTGGAACATTCTCCAGAATAGGTCATATATTAGGCCACAAAACAAGCCTCAACAAGTTCCGAAAGATCAAAGTCATACCATGCATCTTTTCTGACCACAATGCTATAAAACTAGAAATCGACCACAAGAAAAAATTTTGTAAAGACCACAAAACATGGAGGTTAAACAACATGCTACTAAACAATGAATAGGTCAACCAAGAAATCAAAGAAGAAATTAAAAAAACACATGGAGACAAATGACAATGAAACGCAATGGTCCAAAATCTTTGGGATGCAGCAAAAGCAGTTCTAAGAGGGAAGTTTATAGCAATATAGGCCTAAATCAAGAAGCAAGAAAAATCTTAAACAAAAGGAGAAAAAGAAGAACAAACAAGAACAAACAAAATCCAAAATCAGTAGAAGGAAGGGAATAATAAAGATTAGAGCAGAAATAAACAAAATAGAAACAAAAAATAATAATAATAATAGAACAGATCAATGAAACCACCAGCTTGTTCTTGAAAAGATCAATAAAGTTGGTAAACCTTTAGCTAGACTCATAAAAAAAAAACAACAAAAAAAAACAAAAACAAAAAACAAAACAAAAAAACCCAAAAAAACAAAGAAAGAGAGAGGGTACTCAAAATCAGAGATGAAAGAGAAGAAATAACCTCAACAAAATGTTAGCTAACTGAATCCAAAAATACATTTAAAAAGTCATTCACCATGATTGAGTGGGTTTTATTCCTGTGTGGTATATTTGCAAATCAATCAACGTGATACATCATATCAACAAGAGAATGGATAAAAAATATATAATCATTTAACAGATGGAGAAAAGCATTTGACAAAATACAACATCCATTCATGATGAAAACCCTCAACAAAGTAGGTTTAGAGGGAACATACTTCAACATAATAATGAAAATCCACAGCTGAACATCATACTAAATAGTGAAAAACAAAACTTTTTTCATGTAAGGTCCAGAACAAAACAAGGAGGTCTCACCATTTTTATTCAACATGGAACTGGAAGGCCTAGCCATAGCAATTGGACAAGAGAAAGGAATCAAAGGCATCCAAATTGGTAAGGAAGAAGCAAAACTTTCACTATATGCAGATGGCATATAGACATATATGCAGATTGCTGCAAAGCAATCTACAGGTTGAGGTATCAAGGCTGGAGGTATCATAATTCTAAATTTGAAGTTATACTACCATGCTGTAGTAATCCAAACAGTATGGTACTGGCACGAAAGTAGACACATAGATCAGTAGAATAGAATAGAATGCCCAAAAATAAACCCACAATTATATGGTCAATTAGCCTTTGACAAAGACCGCTTTCTTACATCATTCACAAAAATAAACTCAAAGTGGATTAAGGACCTAAATGTGAGACCTGAAACCATAAAAATCCTAAAAGAGCAAAGGCAGTACTTTCTATTACATTGGCCATAGCAACATTTTTTCTCAATATGTCTCCTGAGGCAAAGGAAACAAAAGCAAAAATAAACTATTGAGATTACATCAATATAAAAACCTTCTGAACAGCAAAGGAAACCATGAATGATACTGAAAGACAACCTACTGAATGGGAGAAGATATTTGTAAAATATACAAAGAACTATTACAACTCAACACACACAAAAACAAGTAATCTGATAAAAAATAATAATAAGTAGAAGAAGACATGAACAGGCATTCTCCCAAGAAGATATATAGATGGCCAATAGACACATGAAAAGATGCTCAACATCACTTATCACCAAGAAATGGAAATCAAAACCATGAAGGATCACCTCACACCTGATAGAATGGCTAAAATCAAAAGTGTTGGCAAGATGTGAAGAAAAAGGAACCTCATGCATTGTTGGTCAGACTGTAAACTGGTGCAGCCACTGTGGAAAACAGTATGGAGGCTCCTCAAAAAATTGAAAATAGAACTACCCTATAATCCAGTAATTCCACAACTGGTAATTACTGAAAGAATACAAAAAACACTAATTCAAAAAGATTAATGCACTCTATGTTTATAGTAGCATTATTTACAATAGCCAAGTTATGGAAGCAGCCCAAGTGTCCATTAATAGATGGACAAACAAGATGTGGTGTGTATATATATATATATATATATATATATATATATGCCCACACACATATATATGTAATGGAATATTATTAAGCCACAAAAAGAATGAAATCCTGCCATTTGCAACAACATGGTTGGATCCAGAGAGTATAATGCTAAGTGAAATAAGTCAGTCAGAGAAAGACAAATACCATATGATTTCACTCATATGTGAAATTTAAGAAACAAAACAAACAACGAGGGAAGAAAGAGAGGAGAGAGAAACCAAGAAAGAGACTTAACTGTAGTGAACAAACTGATGGCTACCAGAGGGGAGGGTGGGGGGATGGGTGAAATAGGTGAAGGGGATTTAAAAGTACACTTATCATGATGAGCACTGGATAATTGTTGAATTGTTGAATCACTATATTATACACCTGAAATTTATATAACACTGTATGTTAACTATACTGGATTTAAAATTTTAAATAAATTAATTTTACTTGCATATATTATTGGCTTTGTGTAATAGAAGCATTAGCTGTAAATATAGGCAAACTTAAAATTTATCTCGTTTACTTCCAGTAATGCTTTAAAACGTATTTGGCTCCTATTATATTCTCTAGGAATTAGGAGAAGCCCTGTAAACTTCAATTTTCTTTGGGGGAAAAAAAAAAAGTAGTGTTCTTAAAGACAGGAAAGATTTATGGTGGCATCAGGAAGAGCCTAAATATTTTGAGGTTTATTTATCTCCTTCAATTGTTTTCCCTACCTACAGTTGCAAATCTTTTCCACTTTCTTTCTTACTGTCAGGACGCTTAGGAAATTGCATGTTTTGAAGACTTAAATCCACTTAATAGCTCAAAAAACCTTCTGCACTTTTTGTCAGCATTTTAAAGTTGTGCAATGATCACTCTTGACCAGTAGGTGGTGGTATCCTACAGGAGAACTTAATGCTTCTGAGTATAGACCAGAAAGAAACCTCACATAGTTTTAACCCATAAATTTGAGATTATTTATTCCCTGAGAATTGGGTAATAATCTCTATTTCAATTTAAAAAAAAAATCATGGGAAAATTTCCACTCACAGATTTTCTTTCTTAGGTCATTCATGTTTGCTAAGAGAATTTCTTAAAGGATAAACTATGGTATGGTTAAGCAATCAACTCCTTTTCTATTTACCATATTAAGATGGAAAGGTTCATTTTAATTTTTAGTCTTAAAAATATTTGCCTGTTATTTCTTAGCAGTAGTCTTTACTTAAATTCTTTCAAACAAACTCGCTTTGAGAATCCTACATATCAGTTTTGTGGTCAGCTTAATTCAGAAAGCTGCACACAGCAAATGTAGAGATGATTGTTTTAGGGGGAGATTATGGTATATATTTATGCTTTTCTTTCTTTTTTTATTGTAGGAGAATTCCAGACTCCTTCAAGAGCGTGGTGTGGCCTATATTAATGCTGATTCTTCTATAGAAGGTAAATCTCATTGGTCTTGTAGGAAAAGGTGTGATCATGGTAGTAACAGCCATTTAGTTCATAAATTATGCACTAATAAGGAAGGCAAATCCATCCCATGTGTTGGGATGCCACCCTTGCCTCACAGCAGCTGTGAGACCTAGAGTGCTCATCTGACAAAGCAGCGCTCTCTGATTTGCTTCACCTGGCAGATTACCTTGTCTGCACTAGGGATTGTAAATACCTGTTAAATGAATCAGTAAATCATAGAACAGAAGATTTCTGTGATTTTAGAATGGGGTAGCAAAAAAGTGTAATTTAAATATAATGCTAGTTTTATCATATCATGTGGATAGATTTGGGAAGAAATACTGATGTCCAGGTATATGTTCTCTTAAATATTTTTTCCTCCTATTCAAGAAATAGTTACTGAGACCTTCTGTATGCAATGAATTTTCCAGTATTTCAGAGGAATCAGAAGTTAGTAAGTCTTGCACTTGGAAGTTTGTGACTCAGTACAAATGAGGAAATAAATTAGTCTAGGATTCTAATATATGCAGGTACTATAAGAAGGCTATAATGAGTCTGGTCTGAGAGTTCAGAGGAGAGAAGAGTAGCAAGTTCAGGAAAGGCTTGAGAAATGAGATAGACACTCAAGACTGGCCTTTAAGAATGGATCTGCTTTGGATAAGTAGAGATTCAATCGAAAGGACATTCTCAGGTCTATTTCCAAGATCGAGCAGTCTGTTGTCACTACCCTCCATACCCATTCATCTATCTGTTCTTGACTACATGCAACTTCCCAGACATTGCAGCTGCTGTTCTTTGTACTAGGATGGCTGTTCCACACTCACTCTATCTGTTTCATTCTTACCCTTACAGTCTTCCTGAAATGGTACTTTTTCAGGGAAGCCATGTCTGTAGCTCTCCTTATGACCATTACTAAACAGTTATTTGCTTTACAGACTACTTCTGTTACTAGGCTATATTCTTCAGCAAGTAACAGACAGGATCTTTCTTGATAACTCCTGGTTTCCTAATGTCTTGTTAAAGACACATGAGTTGCATTCGTGCAGCAAAGAATGAGTCAATGAAGGGTAGACTTGGAGAATCTTTTTGGCAGTATATTGATAAACTTATCACATCCACAATAATTGAGACAATGCCTTTTGACAGAGGCATGTTGGCATTGACATTTCTTCTTTGTCCAGTTGTCTAAATTGCATCGTCCCCAAGGTGGCTCACACAGTGCAGTTCAGTAATCCTTTCCCCCCTCCTCTTGTGGCCATGGTGAAGGGTGTGGCCTTATTCGCGGCACAGCCACTTCCTACTTGTATGACCTCAGCTTGTTACTTATCTTCTGTGTCTCAGTTTTCTCAGCTCTAAATAGAGTTGCCAAGAACATATACCTCAAAGGCTCTTAGAAGGGCAAAAGAGGTTAATATTTACAAAACTCCCACACCTGTGCCTTGCACAGGGTAAAAGTTCAAAAATATTAGCTTGGAACTATTACCCATACTTAAAAACAAACACATGGTAGGATGAAACCCCTTCACTACACAGAATAAATACATAAACATATATTTCTCAAAAGCAGAATATTGTTCTCTTTCTTGCTAGCTTTGTTTGCAAGATTTGATTTTTAATGTATATTTTTAAATCATTGGAATTTGTTGATTATGTCACTCCTTGCCTTAAAATGCTGCATGGTCTCCCCATCATTTTCAAGACCCAGAGCAAATGACACACATGTTACCCTAAGATTAGGACACCACTTACCTTACTTTGGTTTATATTTAAAATCTTATTAAGTATGACTTTTTAAAATAACACAATAAGTGATACACTGGCTTTCTCATGTTAAAATGCAAAATTTACAGACAAAGCAAAAATCTTTACAAATGTCAAACTCAGCCCTCTCTCTGAAGGTACTACTGTTCTCAGTTTGGGGTGTTTCCATCACCCTGACATTCATATATAGAACTCAGCTCACACAACCTATCAACAGTGTCGGAGGTACTCTCTTAAGGGCTTTATGTGTAAAAATTTATTTAATACTCACAATCATCCACTGAGGTGAGTACTTTATTGTCTCCCTTGTGTAGAAGACGAAACTATGAATTCAGAGGGATTAAGTAATTTTCCCAAGATCACACAGCTAGTAAAGGATTGAGCTGAAACTCAAATCAAGCTGGTCAACTTTATCCTTCTTATCCCTATATTCTGTTCCCCCTCACTACCTTATACAGGTTTTCATTACATATTACATCTCACAGGCTAAATGGTCCTGCATCTCGCCTTTTTCATGCAACAGCATATTATGGAAAACTTTCCATGTCAGTGTATATAGATCTATTCCACTTGAAAATTAAACTTCTTCAGTGTATTCAACAGAACGATTTATGTCTCAGTTCTCCAGCTGATGGTCAGATGGTTTCCATTTGTTGCAGTCAATATCTTTTTTATTTGCCTGCCTTACATTTTTCTACACAAGTTGAGAGTGGAGAACTACAGTATCATTGCTTGCTCATGGTATATGTGCAATACATTGCGATAAATGCTGCCAAACTATCTCTCTGACCCTCTGGTTTACACTCTTATTGGCTATTTATCTGTTTTAAAAATTGCGGTAGCTAAAATTTGTGCATATTTCTTCTTCCAGTTGAATTTTATTTTATTTTAATTTTTTAATTTATTTTTTTTGTGGGGGGGAGAGCATAAGGGAGAGCAGAGAGAGAGGGAGACACAGAATCTGAAGCAGCTCCAGGCTCTGAGCTGTCAGCACAGAGCCTGATGAGGGGCTCCAACCCGTGAACAGTGAGATCATGACCTGAGCGGAATTCGGATGCTTAACCGACTGAGCCATCCAGGTGCCCCATCAGTTGAATTTTAGAACCAGCCTTTCAAGTTTCAGGAACAATTCTGCTGGGGTGTCTACTTATTTTTAAAGCCTCAACTTTTGCCGTTCCTAGACATGGATCTTAAGCTTTGAGATAAGAGTTTCTGGCCATTCCCTGAGCACATCATGTACTTTTATATTTCTGGGCATTTGTACAGGCTATTCCTTGATGAAGTTGTCTTAACTTCCCCTTCCCCAGGCCCCCAGCCTGTTCTAGTCTCTCCTCGCTGTGCTCCCACAGCTACTTGAGGGCACCTCTCCTGGCTGGTTTGCAAGATTCTCAAGCTCGTCAGACATAGAATTCCTGAGGAATGGGAACCCCATCTCTGCTCTGTATTCACAACTAGATGGAGAGCACCTGCCTTACAAATGCATTTTTACAACAGATATTTATTGGGTAAATGCTAAATGCCAAGACTGTACTAAGCCCTGGGGATATGGCAACAAATAAAAAGACTACCTGTTCCCATGGAACTTACAGTCTGGTGTGAGGATGGCAAATAAAAAGGCAAATATTTAACACATGTGGGAGGTAACTAATAAGGAGAAAAATAATCCAAGGTCAAGAGAGAAAGAGTAGCTAGGATGAAGGAAAGAGAGGGTGCTCCTTTAGGTAGGGTGTTCAGGGGACAACTCTCAGAAAACGTGACATTAGAGGTCTAAGTGAAGTGGGGGAGTTTTAAGTCATGCAGATGTAATGCAGAATGCTGTTCCAGGCTGAAGGAACAGTATGTGCAAAGACCCTGAGAAGGTCCCTGCTTGGGTAGAGTGGGATGTGAAGATTTGAAGAGGTGACAGGGGTTGTTTCTTGTATGGAACTGAGGACCAAGGTAAGCATGATGAGTTTTATTGAGTCATGAGTTGGAGGGTTTCGATTGGACTTAGGTTCTAAAAGGATCTTTCTGGCTAAAGAGTTAACCCTGGTCTTTGAATGAAAGAATGAAGTAAATGAAATAAAAAAACCATTCTTTCTTTATCTTTAAGGAAACTATACTCTACGAGTTGATTGCTCCCCACTGATGTACAGCTTGGTATACAGCCTAACAAAGGAGGTAAAAATAATTACACATCATTTTAGAAAATTTGAGTTCTACAAATGATGTTTCATTGAGATACCATTATTATGTTAAGCAGCTGCCTTGTTTTATAGCTTGTCTTTTTCTCATAGAGCAAATACCCACTGCAGAGAACATTGCATCGAATAAACTATGTACACGTGTTATCCCATTTTCCCCAACTGCCCTGAAGTAGCCTTTGGATAGCATTGTGTCTACCATCCCCATGTGAAATGGAGAACACTGAGATCAAAAAGCATTAGCCACCAAAGTCACACAACTTGTGCAGTAGCTGAACCAGGACTTGGTCCTATGGTTTAAGTCCTTAATTTTAAAACTGCTTTATACTCCTTCATATCATGATGCCAGTTATCCCAGGTTGCAGGAAGAGTTAAAGTTTCTAAGTGATTGAGAAGGAGTGTGTGTAAAAACACCAAGTACTGACTCCAAGGTCAAATCAATTTGGGGCAGAGGCTAAGTGAGACCATGTACCCCCCTTTCTGACTTTCTGACTTGAGCTGCATTCCACTGAGCCCCACTGACCTGGGCTGACAGCTAAAGTTCTCTTAGTTCTGACAGAGGCACAAGATACAGAACCTGCTGGAGAGACAGTGCCTGAATTCCTGTAGGACTGACAGGCAACTCTTCACTTTAGTTGTCCTGCTCCTAAACTCACTGGGGCTAAAGTTAGTCATAATGAAGAAGTTGTTGCATGGCAGATTTTTGTTTTTATTGTTAATTATCTGATTTGAACTGGAAAGAAAAAAAAAAGAGTTGCCTATTTAATGGAATTACCAACTGAAGTATAAATACCAAGAAAAACACAATTATTGCCCTTCAGATAGGGATTTTAATATCACTAACCTTTGGTTTCAAAAGCATGGAATTTCATCTTATAACTTAACTTCCCCTATAGGAATAGAAGCAAATTAATTTGAAAAAAAAAATGTATTCATGTCATTACTCAAGATCTGCATCATTTGCCTGTAGTTTTTATCAGTTTCCATGAAATGTATAAAAACTGTAATACCTGAAAACAGGGTATTTCAGAGAAATTTCACCATTCATGTAATTTAAGGTAAATGCTGAGGAAGCTTGGCAGTTATATTTGTTTTCTGGGTGGTTTGGTGGCACCCAGGGACAATTGCAAACGCAGCACTCTAAGTCAGATTCGATGCTTGACAGTTTTGGCGGTCTGTGTTATTCTGTTTTGTTTATTGGGGGAGAGGGATTCATAGCATTTTAAATTTTAGTGATGAACTGAAAATATAGTTATGTGTTTCTACACTATTCTAAATATGCATTTTTAAAAAAAAAAATTTAATGTTTATTTTTGAGAGAGAGAGAGAGAGACAAAAAGAGAGAGAGAGAGAGACAGAGTGTGAGTGGAGGAGGGGCAGAGAGAGAGGGAGACAATCCTAAGCAGGCTCCAGGCTCTGAGCTTCAGCACAGAGCCCGACAAGGGGCTTGAACCCACCAAACGTGAGATCATGACTTGAGCCGAAGTCAGAAGCTCAACCTCTAAATTTGCATTTCCTAGAATAAATGGAGTGGTACTGTCCCTTATATCAAGGTTTTGTGTAAATTTATAAGCTTGAGTGAAATTATTTTGTGGCTTTATTTATTCATATTTTGCAAGTTAAGATGTTGACATAATTTCTGATTCTCTCCCCATCCTTATGCAGATTTACTTGTATTCCCATAGACCTTTGCACATACCTAGCACATTGAATTTCACATTTTTACTTCTAGTTCCCACTAGTAGAAAGTATCTAATGTGTCTTTTTGAGCTTTGTTTTCATGGCATTCACAAAAAGTCTTAAACAATATAGGTACTCTATTAATTTTTGAAAATTGAATTTGTTGAAAAACAGAACATAGGACTTTTATTAAATATAAAATAAAAACTATTGTGTACCATATAATGTTTAATAAATAACCTGTGAATAACTATAGAACATTAATTGAAGTTGAGTTTGCAAAATGTTTTTGGGATAACATCTAATGTTCTAGATGTCAAGTATAGGTTTAGAATTCAATAATTGGTCATATTTTTCTCCCTCAGTCTTCTCATCAGTAAAACCAGAAAATGTAGTTAAAGCCCAGTATTTATTGAAATTACAATAAATACTCAATATTAATGCATTTGTTTTTATTATGTATTATTTAATGACCTTTAGCGACCTTACTGGCAAGAAGTGATATTAAAAGAAATACCTTCTCTTAACCACCTTGCTTCCTTTCATTTTCTTTTTTATAAGAGAAGTCTGTTTTAGAGAGCAGCCTTCATGCATTCAGAAAAAAATAGACCAAAAAAATCTTATAATAGGACTGTTCATTTGAATATGATGGCTTGGTAATAATTAGGCCTTCTTTTCCATACACTTCATGGTTTTTTTTTTTTTTTTTTCTTATAGTAGCTCCACCTGTATATAATAGCATGAGCATTTTACCATATTGTCAGAAATTCATTATTGTAATTCTTAATGACTGCTAATAATATGAATTGCATCACTTGTTTTGCTGAATATAGTTTAGCTATTCATTCCCTGGCTGATGGACATTTTGATTTTAAAATATCTGATTTGTAAGTATTCTCTTTTTTTCCCATTTAACCTGTGTAGCTCCAAAGCCCTGATGAAGGCTTTGAAGGCAAATCTCTTTATGAGAGCTGGAATGAAAAAAGTCCTTCCCCTGAGTTCAGTGGCATGCCCAGGTAACCATGCAAACAAGAGTCTCTGTTGCATACAGTAGGGGGTTGTGTTGAAAATGAAAGTGTATTTTCTCTCAATGATAAAGGAAAGGCAATGCTTTGGTTCACAAATAAAATATTATTGTGTTTTGAAGTTAAATCTGTAGGCCATCAAGAAATGGTTCTTTTTTGAGTAAGCACTATATACACCTGTTACGTAAGTCAAAAGTATGGTAGAAATTCCCCTCACAGTTACTAGATACATTTTCTCTTTTCTGAATATCATACAGTTAACAAATATTTTGGTTACTCTAAGAAAAATATAGGCATCATTTCAGTATTGGTTGTGTCTTCACAGCAAATTACAGGAATAAATATCTCAGAGATAAAGATTGATTAGAGATGAGATTATAGCTTTAAAGAGTATGAATACTTAAAAAAAATTTAAGAGTAGTATTTACATCTGAGTTATCTAAAAAATTTCTGTTTCTTTTAACTTCATCATGCACAACAAATACAGGTAGTAAAATAAGTTAATGAGGGGAAATATTTTCCAGCATAATGAACTTGTTATTTTGTTTCATTAGTTTTTTAATGAATCTTTTTAAAAAAGTAACTTACATAGGTGTGATATTGTGATTTATAATAAGAAGTATATATTCAATCTTTGGCCCCTTTCTTGGCAGAGAGAACTTAAATCTTTAGAATTTTCTAAGTGATGAAAGAGATAAGGGTGCCTCTTGTTATGTTAACAGGGTGACCTTTGGATCCCCACCTAAGGATGAGGGCTGATGGCCAGGAGAACCAACCACATAATTAGAGGGTTGGGACTTTCAGTCCCACCCTAGGAGCAAAGGTTGAATCAATCTGCAATGGGCAATGATTTAATCGATCATGACTTTCTAATGAAGCTTCCATAAGATAGGGTTCAGAGAGCTTCCACATTGAGTGGCACACCTGGGAAGGGCATGGAGCGCTCTGTGCCCTTTCCCCACATCTTGCCCCTTGCGTCTCCTCCACCTGGCTGTTCCTGAGTTGTATCCTTTTATAACAAACCAGTGATCTGATCGAGTAAATAAAATGTTTCTCCCAGTTCTGGGAACAGCTCTAGCAAATTAATCGAACCCAAGGAGGGGAACTGGGGAATCTTTAATCTGTAGCCCATTGTTGAGAAATCCACCTGGGTTTGTTTTTGGCTTCTGAAATTAGAGGAGGGACAGTCTTTTGGGATGGAGCCATTCACTTATGGAGTATGGTGTTATCTTCAGTGTCAGAATTGAGTTGAATTTTAGGACACCCAGTTGGCATCCCAGAGAATTGCTTGTTGCTGGTATGGGGAAACACCACACACACCCCTCCACATGTTGGAATTGGGTTCAGGAACCCAAAAGAACAATGGTCACTACTACCCAGAACAGTGTTAAGGAAGTAGATACTCCATGATCAAAATTGATATTCCTCTCAATTATTTTTTGTTGTTACTTGCCTAACATGATTTTTATAAATAAAAATTATATTTATAGTAGAAAGAATGGAGTCTAATTAATCTTTAATCTGTACTCCCTGAAGAAATTACTCAAATAATTTCATGTTTTAATCCCTACAAGGATTAGCAAGTTGGGATCTGGTAATGATTTTGAGGTGTTCTTCCAAAGACTTGGAATTGCTTCAGGCAGAGCACGGTACACTAAAAACTGGGTAAGTCTATCAATAAGATTTTCAAGGTTATTTATGAATATATTTTAGCTAAATAAATAATTCTGAATTTTAAAAAGTGAGTTCAGCAGTAGAGAAGTAGAGGAATTTGAAGCAGATGTGGTTGAGATGGTGCTACTACTAATGGAGTAGTTCCTGCATCTGGTATTTTGAGCCTTTGAACTTGAACTTTGATGAACTCCCTTAAATATGTTCTCTGTTTCATTAGATGGCATTGCTTTCATGCAGTTACTTACACTAGAAATGTCAAAATTGTCTTTGATTCCTCTCTACCTGTTACCGTTCAAAATTAGTTATAATCAAGACCTGCAAATATTTGGATTTTTATGTCATTAGCTCCCCAGTCATTAAACATGAAAGTTTATTTATCACAATAGATTATCATGATGAATAGCACAATAAACCATCAACACCTATACAAGTCCAAATTTTTTTGGCTACTGTTGTTTCTAATGATGACAATGACACTTATAGTTTTTATTTTTATCAAGGCAACCTAGGAACATAGTTCATAGAATGTCATACAGTCTGTAAGAGTGTGTAATGAAAAACAGTGGTCCTTATCCCATATCCATGCTTGTCCCACTTCTGATTCTGCTCAACAGATTCAGATTTTTTCAACTTTTTAATTGTTTTATTCTGCTATCTGTCTGTATGCTGACAATATGCTCATGCTGCTATTTATTTTTCGGGGTTATGTATTATCTGTTTACATCTCATTAGGGAAGATGGCATTTAGCTCTTTATCACTTTTTCTCCCAACTCCCAAGTACTTTCCCTCATTGCATTTTCTCAGTATATACTTGTACCACACTTGTTGATTAGAATATCTTTTTTCTTCTCCATGTATCCATAACTGGTTCACCACAAACTTTTAGTATATTTAAAAACATCAGGCCATCTGGCAGATTTCATTTTCCTTGGAATCTTCTCCTGTTACTCTGAATTCTCTGCTTGTTCTCTTTGCCTGTGGCACATCCTTGCCTGTGAAATTTTCCTTCACTGAGAAATCTGAGAGCACCTTCATTTCTCTCCTGTTTCGCATCTTCTGTTTCCTCGATTTTGTATCTTCCTTTTTCTTGTTTATTCTTTACTGTTTTTGGAGCACATCCTACAAGAACTTCTCGAAAAGGGTGTATGAAATCTAAAGCCCTTGTGTGTCTGAAATGCATTTCAACTACACACTATTCTTTTTCAGTTTGCCTGGGCACAAAGCTTTTGGTTGAAAATGCTACATCCTCAGAATTTTGAACTCCTCACTCAATGACTTTCAGCCTTCAGGATTGCGGTTGAGAAATCTGTTGCTATTTGATCCCTGATCGCTTCACTTTTTTATTTTATTGAAATATAATTGTCATTCAATATCCTATTAGCTTCAGGTGTGCATCATAGTGATTCACTATTCTTATACATTACAAAATGACCCCCACAATATCTAGTTAACATCTATCAATATACAAAGTTATTATGATATTACTGACTATATTTTCTGTGCTGTACATTACATCTCCATGACTTAATTATTTTATAACTGGAAGTTTGTACCTCTTAATCCCCTTTACCTATTTTGCCTGCCCTCTAACCCTTCCTGTTTCTGATAACCAAGAGTTTGTTTTTTGTATCTGTGAGTCTGTTTCTGTTTTATTTACTCAGTTGTTTGTTTTTTTAGATTACACATATAAGGGAAGTCATGTGGTATTTGCCTTTCTCTGTCTGACTTATTTCACTTAGCATAATACCCTCTAGGCCCATCCATGTTGCAAATGACAAGATTTCATTCTTTATGGCTGAGTAATATTCCTCTGTGT